AACCGATAGACAGACATCCCATCCGTTTAAGACACTCTTCAGGCCTTTAATTCAGTCATTAAAACACTCTTCAAAACTAATTTTCAAAATAAATAACAAAAACTGTAAAACATTGCATGCATTTCATAAGCATTGCATTCATATTAACAATAAATAACGTAAAATAATTTGCATTACTTTTAACTCAATTGTAAAGCGATTAACGACTGAAAAGCGGTCAACAATTTGTACCCTTTTATACATAATTTGTGAACACATGAAGTGATTGTTTGTACTGTTTTTGGCGCAAAACAATACATTCAATGATTTGTTTTGTAAATAAACAACAAATTAGTGATTATTTATTGATTTAATTAATTATCAGTTAATTATTAGTTATGAATAAATTTGATGAAAGACTGATTGAATGGTCAGAAAAGGAGTTCAATGTGAAGAACTGTCCGAAAGAGTCACTCAAGTGAGACAATCACTTCAATTGATCCCATATTTGATGTTATATTTTCATTGATTTCATACAGTCTTCTGAGGGCTAAAAATGGGACCACTTTTAAGAAGATATTGTCTTTTATGACACAAACCATCAAATCTAAAGAGTATTTGCATTTTCACGACAATTGTTATCATTTTATTCACTAAACAATTGTCTGACAATTATTTTTGTAAGAAATGGCGAAACTATTCAACGATTTTGTGATTCAATACAACTGAAAGAGGACTTGAAATCGACCGCCGATGAGATCCGTGTCATTGAATCGGATATCAGTCGAGTTCGCAATCAATTGATTGTCGAAGAGTTGAACCGAAAGAAGCGCGAAATCAAAGAAGAATTGAATGCAAACAAAGTGTTTGTTTCGACACTTCTGTTGGACGTAATGGAGAGGATTTCGGCGAAGAATAAACACTGCACTCAACTGAAGCCCAACTTAAAGACAATCGACGATATCATTGATTGTTATGAACGCCTCTACACTCCTATCGATGACTTTGATTTGGATAAGTGTTTGGTTTCCGACCAAATGGTCAATAATAGCAAGAATTGTGATCACCTTTTGGACCAAATTGTAAGCAATTTATTTGAATGAAAATCATTGAATATTTTGATTAATGTTTTAATTGATGTTAAGAACCAATTGATGGAAAGCATTGAATCGATTGTCTATGACTTGAATGACATAAAAGCGATTAAACCGATTAATATAAGCTATGATTTGGATGTTGTGTCCAAAGGGTTGACACAAACGGAACCAAACATTGAATTTATGTCACAAAATAAAAATGTATTTATTTTTGAAATTTATATGAATTTAGAAATTAATTGTTTGAATTGAATGAATACAGGAGAAGGAGGCGAAGAACACAGCGATTGCCACTAAATTAGTTTCTGTTCACAATTTAATGCAAAAATACGAGAAAATTCGTTCAGAAAAGTTGGCCAAAAATAAGGACAAAATGCAAAAAGTCATCAATTCTTGCGATGCATTCATTCAACAAAACGCTTGAAATGCTATAAATTTTTGTTTAAATAAATAGAAGTTTTATTACAAATAAAATACATTATTTCATTGAAAATATTGATAATTACCTGTGAATTACGAAATTCATTGTATAAATTGAATAACAGGTGCAAAGACGCCACTTTCGATGAATGCACCGGAATGTCCAATAGGGCTATCAAATAAGAGAAAATTGTAATGCCGTATACAGTATAGTACTGTAGTGTGAATTTCTTACAGCAAACAATAGTAATGTATTCTTCAAGACTACAGTCGAGATCAGGTGTTGGAAGTGAGTGAACATTAAGAGCGCTTTCAAACTCTTCACTCCATTCTTGCATCAGATGCTCGACATCTGGGAGCCGATGGCTATGGAGTAAAGTGACGGAAGTGGACGAACTCGCAGTTGTTTCGTGTAAATGTCTTATATTGTCAATCCATGAATCAATGTCTCGGTTAGTGTTCGCAGTCTTTACAGCCGTTTCCGGTTCTTCTATAATCTTAATGTCTTTCGAAATGGCTTTTAGTTTAAGACTGAGAAGCGTTGGATCTGATTGTGATTTGGCGTTTGGCTCATCCAAAACAGTCAAACCCAATGTGTCCTCTTTATTGTCCGGTCTTTTAACCTGTTTTAATCAATAAACACAATAATAATTTGATATTCTCTCAAATAATTACTTTAATAAAGGCATCGATGTCTCCGACGGCAGGAATAAAGTCAGGGATGAAAGGAATGAGTTTAGTCTCCAATTCAATCATTTGCGGCGAATATAGTGTTATATAACTGAATAAACTTTTCATCTCATTTGATACGTTCAACGACTCGTATTCTGACGGATCATATGCTCTATTCATTCATTTCAACAATAATTACATTAATATTTATATTAATTGGTTTTATTTAATAGAAACCAATTACCCCTCAAAGGCCACCCTTTCCTCTTCGTCCTCATCCTCTGCATCAGAATTGTTATCATTTGTGGGTTTTGTCGGAATTTTCTCGATTTCTTTTTCCATTCTTTTCATTTGTATAATCTATTAATTTTAATTTTATTAAACAAAATATAAATTTTTAAACAAACAATTTTTGCTAATAATTATAATAATAAAATAATCGATTGAATCATTTCTATGGATACATATTCAGTAAAATGTCAAAACAAATAATATCTATACATATATATCAGAAGTTTATGTTTATAAAAGTTAGTGTAAATATATATTTAGAAAATTTAATACAATTTAGTTAATTATGTTTTTCAGGAAACTTTTTATTTATAAAATAAGTTAATTATTACAACAATTTACTAAAAATAAGCAACAATTATGCAATAAAGTGGTGAACACACAGAATAGACACATGTTTTACAATAAGATTATTAAAAACTAAAATTTCAATTATGTTTACAAATTGTGGCCAAATATTGATAATGATTAAGAAGTTGTGATATTTTATCAGTCAATCCCAAAACACTTATCGTAAAGAATATTCTGTAAGAAATCAGTAAAAACCAAAGAATTTCAAACTTATGGTACAAATAATGCCATCTTTTGGTCATTTGATGCTTTGTAACTCAATAACAAACAAAGCAGACAAATAATACACAACAGAAACTTACGCTAATTGCTAACTTACTGACTAAATCAGCATTTGTTGTCAAACTTACGTTCAGAGCAGATTACAGACACACTTTGGTTGCGTTGAGACTTGAATTACACATCGATTACAGCATTACTACTGATATATCGTTCAAAGGTTTGGCCATTCATTCAAACGATTGATTCAATGATTAAATAGTGATTTGATTCTGTCTGTGTCTTTGGTTGCGTTGAGACTTGAATTACACATCGATTACAGCATTACTACTGATATATCGTTCAAAGGTTTGGCCATTCATTCAAACGATTGATTCAATGATTAAATAGTGATTTGATTCCCGAAATAGCGTCAAAATTCAGCCACAAATCGGTGACCGAAACGAGTTGTGCGGCACAAGTGGTGAACGCTGTCGACGACCACAAGACTGAGTCCAGTGAAGATCAGCCAACGATAACTCAAAGTCAACCCAAACACAGGGGTTGTCGACAATTACACGACATTACGATTGAGTCATACATTAACTCAACAAATGATCCCAAAGTGATGTCTCGTCAGACGTCCGTAAAGTCCACATCAAGTAAAGAGTCGACACCAGAGTTGGTGGCCGACGACCAGAGTGTTCCGCGGTAGCGGAGCTGCCGGTAGGGACAGCTGGCTTTCCGCTAGCGTAGCTACCGTAGTGAGTTAGTCTAGGTCAAGATATCGCCGTTAGTAAACCACCTTCACTGCTTTCCTTAAGAAGTAAACAATAAAGAAAACAAATTAACGCCTTTTGGCGAAGAGTCCGAAAGAAGTGAAATGGTGTGCATTCTATCAGTTCCGGCGGCGAACTGATATGTGCTGCACAACGTCAAGTGCCGTCGGCAGTTAGTTCTGTATTTTGTGTAGGCATAATAAGCGCTGTTATTTGGCTTAGTTATGTACCAAAACTAATTCAAGAGGTTAGTTTCTTCGCGTGATGAGTTCTACAAAGCCTTCAATGGCGTCCCATTCAACTCAATTGAGCCCGAAGTGTGTCATCTGGTGTTTGTGGCCAACATCGAGACCGTCAAGGAGTCGGAAGTGTCTTCATTGCCGTTGTGTGGGTTCACAGAACTGCCCACTTGTCCCGTATGTCTCGAACGGATGGACGAGTCTGTTGAGGGAATTTTGACCATTTTATGTAACCATTCATTTCATGGCGGATGTCTTGACAAGTGGGGGGACAGCAGTTGTCCCGTTTGTCGCTACTGTCAGACACCGGAACTGATTCCCGACAACCGGTGCTTTGAGTGCGGCTCTCAGGCCTCACAACAGGACACGCTTTGGATTTGTTTGATTTGCGGTCACATCGGGTGCGGCCGTTATAATGAGGGCCACGCATACAAACACTACTCGGAGACACAGCACACGTATGCCATGCAATTGGGCT